TGCAGTGCTCAGGGCTGACTCCTGGCTCTGTGCTCAGAGGTCACTCCTGGTGGGGCTTGGGTGCCGAGAATCATATGGGGTGCCGAGAATCTACAGAATCTCACTGTATTATTACAGTGAGATAATACCCACTGTATTATCTCCGGTCCCAAAAGACTTTTTTTTTGATGGAAACAGTAAGAGTAGCTGTTCAGGGGCTGGAGCAATAGCACAGCGGGTCGGGTGTTTGCTTTGCACGTGGCCAATCCGGGTTCGATTCTCAGCATCCCATATGGTCCCCTGAGCATCACCAAGAGTCATTCCCGAGTGCAGAGCCAGGAGTAATCCCAGAGCATCGCTGGGTGTGACCCAAAAAGGAAAAAAAAAAAAGAGTTGCTGTTGGGTGGAAGAGGAGGCAGGAGATGAGAAGCCCTTCACACCTTGACCCTGGGCCCTGGCTCCTGCCTGCGACTGTTCTCCCGGGGGGGTCACTGGTGGCCCCCCAGCCTCTGACCAGCTCCTGTGTACCCTGTGGCAGCTGCAGAGCCTGGAAGCAGACAGCCCACCGGGGTCCCAAGGACGCAGGGCACAGGCTTGGCTCAGTCTGGCTGTGGGGGTACAGAGCTGCGGGGCAGGCCGGCAGCAGAGCGGAGGTGGTGCATTGCTCCCGATGCTTTCCTGGCATGTTAGAACCTTCTTCCTCCCGAGCAAGACAAGCAGATACAGCCCAAGGCTGGGGGGGGGCATGAGCCTCTGCCTGTCCCCTGCCAGGCTGGCAGTGCTCTCGGCTGAGGCCTGAGAGAGGGCACGTCCAGGGCCAGATTGGGACCCCTGAGACCCTGTGCCCAGTCTGAAGCTCCAGTTACATTCTGGATGCATCCAGAAAGCAAGTCTTGGGACTGGAGAGATAGCACAGTGGGTAGAACGCTTGTCTTGCACGTGGCTGAGCCGGGGTTTGATCCCCGGCACCCCAAATGGTCCCCTGAGCCCACCAAGAATGATCTCTGCGTGCAGAGCCAGGAGTCAGCCCTGAGCACCGCAGGGTGTGTCTTCCAAACAAACATAAACCAAGCCAGACAGCAAGCCTGAGGGTCTCACCAGACAGCTCTGGGGGCCAGTAAGGGACAGGCTAGAATGGTCTGAGGCCATTTCCCCTCGGTGCTGTTGTGAATAGACAGGTGCCCCAGCTCTGCAGCAAAGTTACCAGATGTAAGGGCTCCTGGTTTTGGCATCCTCTCTCTTCTCTGACTCGGCCCCCTTCTAGGAAAGCAGCAGCTGAAGGAGTGTCCTCCAGGATCTCCCTCATCTTGGGGTGGCATTGAGAAGGCACAGGACCGAGACTACACTGCAGAGAAAGGCTGGTGCTGTGGGGTGGACCCCAGGGAAGGAAAGAGGAGGTGAAGGTGGATGGACAGGGAGGCAGGGGTCTGGTCTGCCTTCCACGAGTGAACACTCACTCCATGGGACTTGAGGAGAGTTTTTCCTTTGGGGAGGACATGCTGAGGTATTCCTGACTCCCGCCAATCCACTGTGCCTAGGATGGAGTATCAGAAGGCCAGGACTGGAAAGAATGCTGTGCTCAAGGCACCAAACTTGCATCCTTTTGGGGACCACACTCCACGGTGCACAGAGGTCGGCCCACGTGGTGCCAGGAATCCATCTTAGGTGTCCAGCAGCAGAGGATGCAGCCCAGATCGCTGAGTTCTCTCTTGGACCTTCTTCACTCACACTCTAAGCCAGTGATGGACACTGGCAACATCGAGGACTAGGCTAGAACAGAGGGACAGCTGCGTCTCGCCTCTGGGTCTCACCTCTGCGTCCACGTGGTACAAGCTAGCTGGCCAGCCTCCCTAATGCGGCCTTTCCAGCAGCTTCTACACCACCCTGGGGCTGTCCCTCACCTGAGAGCCCTACCCCACGTGGCAGAGGCCATGGTTCCTTTAGGACCCTTATTGGAAGTCTGGCATTGCTCTGTTGAAGGTCCAGGTTCCAGCCAACCCAGGCCTCTCCTGTTCAAGGGTGAAGCATCATCGGGTGAGGCCTAGAGACAGGAACTCAGGCCCAGATAACCTCTGGGGGTCTCCGGGATGTACCTCTAGTCCTAGAAGCGAGAGCAGTTGTCTTGGCCCACCCCTCACCCCCGTCCAGATAAGCTGGGAGGAGGCAGGCCACAGAACCCTGAGGAGCTGGGCCGCTGGTTCCAGCAGAGAGAAGTTGGCCTGGCCTCTCGTCCAGATAAGCTCGGAGAAGGCAGGCCGCAGAGCCCCGAGGAACTGGGCCGCTGATCCCAGCACGGGACGCGGATCCTTCTCCTTTTAAGGCAACGTCTGAGCTCTGGGCACGCCAGCCCCAGCCCCACTCATTCCTGGCTATTTGGAGGAAACCGATGATTAATCAGCCCTTTCCCCACCAGCCCCAGCCTGTTTTGCATTAGGGTTTGCACACCTCCGCCAGCACAGACACCCACGGCTCATCCTAGCAACCAGGGCCCAGGGCGGGCGGGGTGCGGCGGGTGGGCAGGATCTGGAGGGTGGGCAGGGAGAGGGCTCAAGTGTTGGAAACGCTATATTGGGGGGTGGTCTAAGGTGGGCAGGGCTTGGCGGAGAGGAAAGGAGGGTGTGCCAGGTTCTATGGGCAAGGGGTATATGGGGTGCCCAGAGGGAGACTGGCAGGCAGGGAGGGGTGTCCCTGCCCCTGAGGAGGTCACCTTGGTGTAGGGACTGCTGGAAGATGGATCTGAACCCCAGGGTGTCTTGAGTTTGCAGGGGGACGTTGGCTCCATAACTATCTCTGGGTCCCCAGTTTCCTCCATGTGTGGCCAGTGATTGGTACAGGGGCTCTGCTGAGGGTAGTTGTGTGGCCAGGAGTGGGGAGCCCAAGGCTGGCGCAGTGCGGGGAGGGGGCAGGGGCCTTCCTCTTAGGGCTGACCAGAGATCAACTGCACCCTGTAACAGGCTACCGTGACTGCCCTCCCCCCGGAGTCCCTGGGGTCAGGCCTGCCCTGACCCGGGGAGTGCTGGTCACAGGGGAATAGACCTGTCCTGACCTGGGAGTAGGGACCTGAAGGGTGGCCCCACTGATCTAGGGGAGGGGCACAGAGGGTTGGAGGTGCCCTTCCTCCCAAGTTCAGGGGACACCACCACTCCCCCCTCTCTGGGTGGTGAAGGCCTGAGGGTGAGGCCCAGAACCCTGGAGCCAGGGTGGGGGTGAGGCGGGTGAGGGCAGGTATGTCCCAGCTGTGCCCGATAGGGCCTGGGTTCGGGGAAGGCGGCTGGGGGGCAGCTACACTCCAGGCTCGGCAGGCGGGGCTGCCCGAGGGAGGCCAGGACTCACTGTCCCCAGGACTCGTTTGTGGGGCACTTACGGACTCTCCACGGCCTCAGCCACGTTGCCCCCTGGGAAGGGGTTGCCCAGCCTCGGAGCTGGGAGCAGGTGAGGACAGACTTTCCCGCCCTCCACTAATGGTTCAACCCTGCCAACACTCAAGCCTCTGGAACATTCTTTGGTAAAGGATCAACAGCCCCCAGGGTGGTTCCTGGGAGTGGGGTGGGAGGTCCCCTGTGGAGTGGAGCAGTGGGTTCCCCTTCATGCAGAGGGACGGGGGTCCTTGCCACCTGCTCCCACGGCCTCCTGGGGCTGACTCGGCAGGTGTGGGGTCCAAAGAGGGTCCCCCGCTCCCCCCCACCTGTGTCTGCTGGCAGTGGATCCTGGGGCCCCTCCAGAGACCTGCCCTGACCTGTAACTCCTCAGAAAGACTGTGGTTGTTGCAGTTGGGGGCATTGCACCCAGTGTGGAGGGCCACCCGGGCCACACAGGCAAGTGCTGGGGAGTCAGGGGTCAAACCCGAGGCTGGGCACCCCATAGGCACGTGCCGTACCACATCCCTGTCACTTAGAGGTTTCCTCCAAAACGAGGATAGCATCGTCAGTGTTCCCCAAGGCGTCACGCCTCCCATGTAGAAACAGCCTTTCTTCTGGACACCTTTTATTTGTGGGGGGCGGGGATCACTGTGCTCAGGGTTTGAGGGATCATATGGGATGCTGGTGATCGAACCTGGGTCAGCCACATGCAAGGCAAGCGCCCTCCCTGCTGTACTGGCTCTCTGGCCCTGTTTACCTTCTTTATAACAGTTTATTCCAATGAGATGATGATGGTAGGTAGAACGTATAAATATCCACTACTGGTCGTATCTTAGCAGCCCTCTGCCTTACTTTCCCCCCAGAAATGTATTTGCTATAAAGTCCCCGTGTCCAGGTCTCGGACCCTCCGTGGTAGGGAGGCTCCCGCAGGCAGCAGGGCGCAGGAGAGGCAGATGAGGGGCCTGCGGGCGTGGGCTCTGTTTTGGGTGCAGGGATGAAACGCAGGGGCAGCCAACCACTGAGCTCCAGTCTCAGCAATTGGTATTTTTAGAAACCCCAATTTTTTTGGGGTGGGTGGCTTTGAGCCACACTCGGCTGTGCTCAGGACCTAACTCCTGACTCTGCACACTCAGGGATCACGCCTGGCAGGGCTCAGGGGATGCTATGGGGTGCTGGGATCGAACCCGGGTTAGCCACTTGCAAGACAAATACCCTACCCGCTGTGCTATCTCTCCAACCCAAATTTTGCCATACGACACAAATTTACAATGAACAAAAGCCCCCGAATAGAAAATAAAGGCAGGAGTCATAAAGTGGTGTTTTCCTTTGCCTCCGTTTCCAGCGTGAAAACCTGGCTTCTAAGTCACACAAACACACAAATAAATAAATAAAATAACAAGTCCATCACTCCTGACCACTGGCGGGGCCTCAGGGAAGGTGCTGTCCCATCCCGGCAGCTGTGTGCGGGGTGCTGGGGTCTCACGCCCCTGAGGTGTAGGGGTGGGGGGGTCTGACGTCAGCCTGTTTTCTGCAGCTTGGGCTGAGTGCCTCTTCTGGAACCTTCTCGGGGCCCTGTCCTTGGGAAGCCGTTCTGTGAGGGCTCCCCCATGCTCTGCCGCCGAGCCAGCTCTTCATGTTTATTTTTCTTTGCTGAATTCTTAGGAAAGCAAGCAAGTGGAGACCCAGCCAGATGCCAAGAACGGAGAGCACAGAGGCAAGGACGCCAGCAAGAGAGTGCTGGGCCCCCGGCGGGACTCAGACCTGGGCAAGGAGCCAAGGAGGGGGGCCCTGAAGAAAAGCTTGTCCAGAGACAAGGAGGAGGCCCCTGGCAAGGGCGGGGACAAGCCCAAGGAAGAGAAGATCATCCGGGGCATCGACAAGGGCCGCGTGCGGGCTGCCGTGGACAAGAAAGAGGGCAGCAAGGAGGGCAGTGGAGAGGAGAAGGCCATGGCTAGGGAGGAGAAGGAGAAGGGAGCAGGGGAGAAGAGTGCAGGTGGGAACAGAGACAAGGACAAGAAGCGAGAAGACACGAAAGAGCTCGGCAGGAAGGAGGAGGCAGGGAAGGAGCCGGGGCCCAGCAGGGCCGGAGACCCCCGGGAGGAGGCCCAGAAGGCGGGGGCCGGCGACCGGGCCGCAGAGGCGAAGAAGGAGGACGAGAAGGTAAAGAGAGGGGCTGCGAGCGCAGGCACGACCAAAGAGGGCGAGAAAGTGCAAAAGGATGAAGCCCCCAAAACGCCAGAGCCCCAGACGGAGAGCAAGGCCAAGCCGGTGGCGGAGAAGCCGGCCCCGGGGGCCCCCACCGCCACCCCGGGGCCACCGGCCAAGGCGGAGGAGGAGGCCGCGCCCAGCATCTTCGATGAGCCACTGGAGCGGGTGAAGAACAATGACCCGGACATGACGGAGGTGAACGTCAACAACTCCGACTGCATCACCAACGAGATCCTGGTGCGCTTCGCGGAGGCGCTGGAGTTCAACACAGTGGTCAGGGTGTTCGCCCTGGCCAACACGCGGGCGGATGACCACGTGGCCTTCGCCATCGCCATCATGCTCAAGGCCAACAAGACCATCACCAGCCTCAACCTGGACTCCAACCACATCACGGGCAAGGGCATCCTGGCCATCTTCCGGGCCCTGCTGCAGAACAGCACGCTGACCGAGCTGCGCTTCCACAACCAGCGGCACATCTGCGGCGGCAAGACGGAGATGGAGATCGCGAAGCTGCTCAAGGAGAACAGCACACTGCTCAAGCTGGGCTACCACTTCGAGCTGGCCGGGCCCCGCATGACCGTCACCAGCCTGCTCAGCCGCAACATGGACAAGCAGCGGCAGCGGCGGCTGCAGGAGCAGCGGCAGACGCAGGAGGCCGCCGGCAAGAAGGACCTGCTGGACGTGCCCAAGGCCGGCGCCCTGGCCAAGGGCTCCCCCAAGCCTTCCACCCAGCCATCCCCCAAGGCTTCTCCCAAGAACTCGCCCAAGCAAGGGGGTGCTCCCGCGGCCCCACCTCCTCCGCCTCCTCCCTTGGCCCCACCTCTGATCATGGAGAACCTGAAAAACTCCCTGTCACCCGCCACCCAGAGGAAGATGGGGGACAAAGTCCTGCCTGCCCAGGAGAAGAACTCCCGGGACCAGCTGCTGGCTGCCATCCGCTCCAGCAACCTCAAGCAGCTCAAGAAGGTGAGGAGCCCAGCGGTGCGGCGAGGGGGCTTAGCAGAGGGGGCACAGAGGCCATCTGCGTGTCCAAAGAACAAGGGATCCTTGCCAGGTTACATCCATGGGGGCAGGGACTTCCGGTCCTCACAGAGCCTGCTCCCCCTTTCGTTGGGGGAGTTGGAGCCATAGCACAGCAGGGAGGGGGTTTGCCCGCCCAGATGCAATTTCTGGTACCCCCAACAGTCCCCTGAGCCCACCAAGAGTGAACCCTGAGCACAGAGTCAGGAATGAGACACGAGTACCCGACCTCAAAATCAAACCAAACCGAACACAAGAAAAGGTCCTGAGCAATAGTACAGCGGGGGAGCACGCTTACCTCACACACAGCTGACCCAGGCTCAGTCCACAGCATCCCATATGATGCCCTCAGCACCAACAAGAGTAATCCTTTTTTTTTTTTTTTGCTTTTTGGGTCACACCCGGCAATGCACAGGGGTCACTCCTGGCTCTGCACTCAGGAATTACTCCTGGCGGTGCTCAGGGGACCATATGGGATGCTGGGAATCGAACCCGGGTCGGCCACTTGCAAGGCAAACACCCTACCTACTGCGCTATCGCTCCAGCCCCACCAAGAGTAATTCTTGAGTGCAGAGCCAGGAGTAGCCCCTCAGCATTACCAGGTGGGACTCAATAAGAACCAACAACAACCCCACCCCCAGCTAGCACGCACTCACACACAAACCCTGGAGAATCGGCTTCTGCACAGTGTTGAGCCTCGGCCCTGCCCTCTTCCCCCACTTCTTTCCAGAGGTGCTTGGAGATAGTTCTTGGAGGTCCTGAGGAGCCAGGAGGTGGTGGCAGTTGAAGCAGTGCTCCTGAATGCAGAGCACTTGTGATGGCCCTGACCTTTGGGTCCCACCCTTGGAGGGACCTTCAGAGATTCAACCCTTGGGCAAACCAGCCTGGGACCAAGCCAGTCTCCCTCCCTGAATTCTGCTCTTGAAGTCCCACCTCAAGGGGCTGGAGAGATACTACAGCAGGGAGGGCATTTGCCTTGCTCTCAGCCAACACTCTCCCCCAAGCCCACCAGGCGTGATTCCTGAATTTTGAGTCAGGAGCTACTCCTGAGCACTGCCAGGTGTGGCCCCCAACTAAAAAAAATAAAGTAAATTCCCATCTCCCCAGGGACAGCCTGTGTCATCTTCCCCTCTGTGAGATGTTGGCCGCTCACCCCACCAGTGTGTGGGAGAGAGTCCCTCGAGGGAAATAAGGGACAGCCTGGACGATCACGCTGGTGATCGTTCCAGGACTCCCGTTCCAGGAAGGGGGAGCTCTCCATCCCTGTCAGCCCTCCTTCCCTCACTCACACACCTCTGCCAGGTATTGCTGAGAGTCCCTCCCAGGCGCGGGGAGGGGAGGCCGCCCCGGGCCTCCTGCCTGGCTCCGTGCTCAGCAGTGTCCACTTCCCTCCGCAGGTGGAAGTGCCCAAACTGCTCCAGTAGCACCAGCTGCCAGGTACGGCCTGCCCAGGCCCCCCACCCGCCGGCCGACCTGCTGTGGATGTCCCTGTCTTGCCACCGGAGATTTGAGGCCTGGGCCACGCTCAAGGAAGGCTGCTGCCTCAGCTCGCCTCACGCCGCCCATCTCGTCTCTGAGGCTCGCCCTGTTTCCTTCTGACCGGGAGCGAGCGTTCAGGATGAGAGTTGTAGCACGTCACCAGGAGGACGCCACGCCGCGCCATGGGGCTGGCGAGCTGCAAAAAGGCTGATGAACCGGTGGCGTCCCCCGGCCCCACTGCCGTCCAGGGCCAGGATCCAGGACTCTGAGGAGCCCTGGGGGCAATGCCGCGGGCCGGGGACGTTCTGTGCGGGACCACACAGAAGATGGAGTGGACACAGGATGCACATAGAGGGGCTGAGGACACCCCCAGCCCCTCCCGCGCTGATTAGGACGTGGCAGGGGCAGCGTCCAGAACCTAAATAAAGAAAGTTCGGTGGCCTGGACGGGAGGTATATGGGGGTGCCCAGACGAGTGGTCGGGGACAGACAGCCGCTGGACCTGAAGGTTTGATGCCAAAGCAAATGTCCTCACCCACCCGCTGTTGTATAAATAGCCGTGTATCTGTTTTTCTGTAAGATTTTGATAATATATACAAGCCGTCTGCTGGGGATGTCTCTGCCCTACTCTGAGCTCTGCCTGGGGCTCACTCTGGGTCACCCAGTTCTAGAACCCCAGTTCTCTGCCGTGCAGCCAGGGGCTGACCACACCAGTCCATTACAGGAAGGTTCAGTGTGGGGGCGAGCCTCCCTGAGCTTGCGGCTCTCGGTGCCTACACAGCCGAGTGCAGGCCTGGGCTGCTATATTAGGCCTTGTCATCGCTTCTGCCAGAGAGTTTGAACCTAGGGCTCGATGCCAGCTGCAGACCCAGGAAAGCAGCCAGCAGGGGACTGCAGTGACCATCTGAGCCGCCACATCCACACCAGCAGCCCAGCCTTCCCCTTCTGACCTCACCCACTGCCCCATGCGCCCCTCAGGGGCCACCTAAGGCCTTCTCTCACACGGCTGGGCTCGGCTGGTGCCCTGGGCTCCGGCACAGGCAGGGACTTTTGCCTCTGGGTTTTGCTTCCTGGTGGGGGCACAGCATCTCTGGACACAGGGGTCAAGACTCAATAGGAAGCATGCAGGATCTGGACAAAAACTCAGACATGCTGGTCTTGGGGGAAGCTGAAGACACCAGGTGCAGTGGGCCTGCATCCCACTTGTCTTCCCGCAGTGAGACCCAACCCAGGGTGAGGCCTGGAGAAGGAGCATGGGACTGGCCCTCAGAGAGTGTTGGTGGAGACACAGTACATACAGCAGGCAGGCACCTGCTTTGCACACGGTTGACACGAGTTCCATCTCTGTTATGCCACATAGTCTCCTGAGTCACTTCGATTCCTGAGCCGCAGAGCCAGGAGTAACCCCTGAGCTCGGCAGAGTGTAGTCCCAGAACCTAAATAAAGGAAGTTTTGGTGGCACTAAGCCCAGAGGCCTCCCACGGACCCTGCGCCTGGGTGCCAGTCTGCATGTAGGTGCTGACTAGCAACAGCTCCGAGAGGTGGATACCAGTATTCTCTCCGTGGTAGGTTGGGCCGCCTGGAGAGGTTTCCAGCAGGTGCTGCATCTCACAGAGCAAAGGCCCCCGCGCGTCCCCCCGGAGCACCCGGGCCCGGCCACCTCCCTGCAGACGGGGCTGCGCCGGAAACGCCCGAGCGCCAACCCCTGGGCCGGCCCGTGGTCGCTCCTCCCTCCAGAGGAATGACCAGCCAGAGAAAACCTGCTCCAGACGCCCCAGGGGAGCCGGGGCAGCGTCCGCGCTAGGGCCGCGCCCTGCAGGAGGCCCCGACTGAGCTCGCGTCACCAGCCGGGGAAACCTCGGACCTGGCGCGGGCCCACAGCGCCCACTGGCGGCAGGTCGGTTACCGGTAGGAAGAGGCGCCAGAGCAAGTCCAGGAACCCCGGGGGCCTAGGGGGGCGTCGCCCCATCTCGGGGACCTGCCTAGCTCCCCGAAAGCTCCCCCCACCTCTGCCCACCTCTCGCACCCACCGGACAGCTTCCCAACAAAGAACACTTCCCTGCCGCCCCTGCCTTTCACAGGGAAGAAATGAGGGTCCTCTGCTTAAAGCATCAGAGCCGGCTCTTCCCCATCACTATGTCACTGCCCACACCCTGTACCCCAGACCCACCTCCAGAGTGCTGTGCACTCAGGGATCACTCCTGGTGGCGCTGGAGAGCCAAGTTGCGTTGGCCACCTGCAAGGAAAGAACCCCTCCCCGCTGTACTATGGCTCTGGCCCCTGAGCCCCAAATCCTGAAATGACCGGTGAGCATTTACTCCTGGGATGGGAAGAGTCTGTGACTGGGACACTGGGCCAGTGTCCCTGCCTGGATGGCAGCGTGACCCTAGCTCTGCACCTCCCCCAAGGGGGTCAGGGTCAGGGGCAAACATAGGGACCACCTGGAGATTCCCCTGGGAAGGGGGAGGCCCTGAAGCCAGGCCACGTCCTGGCCTCCAAGCTTCCTGCGTTTAGCCCAGGACAGGAGCTTCCGGTGTGACCATCTGCAGAGAGCTGTGGGACAGTGTTAGCAATACAGCCCTGTCCAGCACCCAGGGGGAGAAGGACACTGAAGGCTCAGGCAGGGGCGGGGATGCTGGGACAAAGTGCACAGGGAAGGGACAGTATCGCTTGGCCAAGAAAGTTGACCCTCTTCGCACTGGAGTTAAAAACTGTAGAATCCCCTTCCCTGGGTGGAGTCAGCACAGGGACCGAGTCCTCACCAGGAGGACCAGGGCCGAGGGTCTGGCTGGGGTACCCTGTCCTCTCAGGCTGCCTTCCGCAAAGTGTTGTGGGAGAAGGGGGAGCCCTCAGAGTCCTCACCACAGGCCCGAGGGGCACCTGGGGGCAGAATGACAGAGGGTGCCTGGCTGGTTCAAGGCAGCTGGTAGAAACCCCAGTGCCAGCATCCAGGAGGCACCATGACACCAGCCTTCATATACCCGTCACCCTGCAGATGAGGAAATGAGACCCAGCCTGGAGACGCACCCCAGGTCAGACAGCATCTAAGCACACCTGATCCAGGAGCCAGGACCTGAGTCTGAGTGTGCCAGGGATACACACCTGGGCTGACGGCACCTGCACATGGGTAAGAGAACATGGATGTGTGTGTAAGAGGTCCTGGACATGTACGTGAGGTCTGGACATGGAAGAGAACCTGGACATGGGGCTGGAGTCATAGAAGAGCAGATATGTTCTTGCCTTGCACACAGCCAACCCAGCACCCCAGAGGGTCCCCTGAGCCCCACCAGGGGTGATTTCTGAGCACAAAGCCCGGAGTAAGCCCTGAGTACAGCCACCACCAGGTGAGGGCCAAAACTGAACAAACAAAACAGAAGGGGGCCTGGATGTGTATGTAAGAGAACGTGGGTGTGTGTAAGGGTTTCTGGGCATGTGTATAAGATCCAGGCATGTGTGAGAGGACCTGAATGTGGTGTGTGAGGACCTGAACGTATGTGAGAACCCAGACGTGTGTGAGAGGCCCTGGACCTGAGAGGACCCAAGCATGTGTGAGGACGTGGCCATGTGTGAGAGGACTCAGGTGTGTATGACAGGACATGGACCTGTGTGCGGTGAAAGGAACTGGACGTGCGTGAGAGGACCCAGACGTGTGTGAAAACCTAAGTGTGTGTGTGTGTATGTGTGAGTGCCCAGGCATGTGTGTGAGAGAGGACGTGGATGTGTGTGTGAGGACCAGGACATGTGGATGAGCGGACCCGGACATGATTGTGAGAGAGAACCCAAATGTGTGAAAAACTGGACATACGTGTGAGAATATGGATGTGTGAGAGAGGACCTGGACATGCCTGCAAGCAACCCCGGATGGGTAGTCCCTGTGTCCATGCTCTCGTAGATGTGGAAGTGGCCCGGTCCTCTGTGGGGTTCTGTAACACAAACCCTCTTTAGCAACGACAGCTCCTGGGCTTTGAGAACCAGCCAAAGACCCCAGCCAGACAGGAGGCTGACAGTGTGCCCCTGGGCCTGCCCTCGCTGGACTGGGGCACTGCAGGGGACGCAGCAGGCCCCTGAAAAAGGTGGATGGCACAGTGAGAGAGGGACACGCGTGAGATCTTTACAGCTTTAATCCGCGGGTCAGAGCCCTGGCCAGGGACAGCCAGGAACTGGGCTTGCGCCGACTGTGGCCAAGTCCCCTCCTTGCCTCTGCATCACGGTGGTGTGGGGCAGACAGGAGGACCGTATCTTCCTGACTTGGTGCTGGGAAAGGGACATTGAGGGAGCAGGAGCTGTGGCCCAGGGTTCCATGGCCCTCCCTTGGCACAGAAACAGTCCAGAATCCTCCACCCTCCCCAGACTGCCTCTCACGCCGAGGTCCAGCTCTGATCCTCATCTAGCTCCTGGGGCCGGGTCCCCAGCATGGTCCAGCACTGGCATGCTCTGGGGCTGCTGACAGGGGGGCCCGAGGCAGTCCAGGGTGGATGTCACGGAGGGGCCGCAGGCTCAGCCAGTCCTCAGGCTCCGGGATAGGAGGGTTGTGGTGGCATATAAGGGGGAGGCGCTGAAAGGCAAGGGGACAGGACAGAGGTCAGCCGTGGTCCGTGGATGGTATGCCCCCTGCCACCCCCCCCCTTTGCAGGCCCCATGGGAAGGGATGAAGGCAGAGGAGTCTGAGAGATGCCTCTGGGCTGGAGAGGCAGGGGTGCAGGGCAGTGGGGAGGGTTGCCCACTTACCTGCTGGATTGTAGACAGGAGGCCCAGTTGGGTAGAGTGGATACTGGGGAGCAGGACCGCTAGGCGGGTACATGAAGCCAGGCTGTGGGGGCGCAGGGCCAGCTTTGGGGTCCTGGGGGTAGGGGTACACCGGCTGTACCGGGATGCCGGTCATCGGGATCTCCTGGCCTAGGTGTGGGGACAAGGATGAGCATCAGAACCCTGTCCCTCGGGAAGCCTCCTCGGGAAATCAAGGCAAGCACCCTGGAGGCGGGGTGGGGGGAGCATCCCCTTGGTTTCCCAGGCCCACCTGGCACTAAGAACTATACCTGCGGCCGTGAGGAACCAATCTTTGCTTAGCATGTGATCCCCCCCACAGAGACCTTGGGGTGCAGAGAGCACAGCCTGAGGGGGCGGGGAGACAGCACAGGGGGAAGGCACTGGCCTTGCATGAAGCTGACCCCAGTTTAATCCCCAGCACTGCATAGGTCCCCTGAGCACTGCCAGGAGGATCCCTGAGCACCAAACCTGGAGCAAATCCTGAGCAAATCCAGGTGTGGTCCAACACGGTCCCCTGACCTCCCAAATAAGCAGAGAACACAGCCTGAGGTGGGGAGAGGAAGTCCCTGCACTGGCATCTTTTGATTGAGCAGAACCAGGATTGATGAATGATGTCCCCCCAACATACACACACACACACACACACACACACGCACGCACGCACACAGTCATCTTCCCAAGCGCCTCACTGGTGGCCTGGGCACAGATACCATCAAGTGCCCACACTCAGCACCCGGGCCAAGACAGGTATGCCCCCCACTACTCAGTACTCTCTCCCCGACACACTGCGCTTCCTACCTGCAGACGCGAGGACCCCTGGGACAGATGGCCCTGCGCCCCTCTGGGCAGTCACATGCATATGCACGCCTGGCCCTATCCCACATTGGCAGAGCCCACACAGCCCCGTTTCCAGGCTTCGTGCCAGAAAGAGAATCTCCGCATCCTTCAGCGCCTTCTCCTAGACGTAACACACGGGCGCGCACGCGTGTGCACACACATGCACGGGGGCAGCTCGGCCCGCGGGCTCCTGCTCCAGCCGGCACCGCGCCTACCTTCGAACGGGCTCTGCAGCTGCTGACGCCGGCGGTACAGGTAGCAGCAGGAGCAAAGGAAGCAGCAGATGGTCGTGGCCACCACCGCCACGAACAGGATCACGGCTGAGGCGATGCCCGCGATGGTCTTGGGACTGTAGACAAAGAGAGGTCCTCAAACCTTCCCACTCCGGTCACCGGGGACCCTGACGCTGCGCTCCAACTCCTGGCCAGCAGGGGGCCGCAGCCGGCAGAGATTCGGGGTTCCTGGTGGGGCTCTGCCCAGTCCCCGTGGAGGAGATCTTAGGGGACCTTCACTTCCCAGAAGGCTGTGCTGCCCGCTGGTGCTCAGGCTTGCTGGGATTTGTAGTGCTCCCCCATCGACAACTGGAGGGGCGAGGGCCTTGCTGGTGGGGGCACAGACCCCAGGTCACTGGGACCTTGCTTCAGACACCCCAGCTTATGTCTGTCTGAGAGGTCAGTGGTCTCCTCCCCCAAGTCGGGGAGCCGCTCATTCTGGCACTCCCTGGTCTCAGCAAGCAGAGACAGTGAGTGACCTGCAGGCTGCAGGCAGGGGCTCCCGCAAGACCCCCAGAACTCCTGAGAAGTGGAGCCGGGCGTGGGACCCGCGGCATTCAGGGTCCACCCGCACCACCCTGCGGGGAAGGCGGACAGCGCCCCGCAAAGCAGAGCACCTTCCCCTCGGCCCCCCGCGTTGGCTGGAGCCGGGGAGCCCCGTTGCCAGCAGCAGCCCGGGAGATGCGGGTGTGGACTGGCGAGGTGCAGGTGGACAATGGGCAGGAGCGGGCGGGCGGGCGGCCAGGAGGGAGGAGGGGCGGCCCGGGGCGGGGGGCGGTGGAGAGCGCGCGCGCGGGGCCCACCTGAAGGCCAGGCAGTGCTTCTGCTGCCTCTCGGTGATGAGCAGGGTCAGGTCCCGGCAGCAGAAGCGCTGGTAGCAGGTGCCGCAACAGAAGCTGAAGAACTCGCAGTCGAAGCCGGGGTGCCAGGAGCCGTTCCGGTCCAGGTACCACAGGCAGTCCTCGCCGGCCAGCGCTGCGGGCGGGCGGGGCTCAGCGGGGCTTCCCTGCGCCCCGCCGCGCGCCCCGGCCCGGGGACTCCCGCCCCCCTGCTCCCCGCGCCCCCCCGTCCGCACGCGCGCCCGCCGGGGTCCCCAGCGCCTTACCCAGGGGGGCCCCCAGCGCCAGCAGCGCCAGGGCGGCGAGCGGCGCGGCCCCGCGGGGCCCGGCGGGCGGCATGGCGAGGACGCAGGACGCGGCGGGCCCAGCCCGCGCCTGCCGCCGCTCCTCTCCCGCCGGCTCCGGGGCTGGACTGCGGCCGGGCCCCCCTCACCCCGCCCCGGCCCCGGGCCCCGCCTCCGGCGCCGCCCCCCAGCCCCCTCCGCCCGGCGCCCAGCCCCGAGCCCCGCCCCCAGCCCCGCTCCTGGGGGCCGCGCAGACGCTCGGATCCCCCCGGCGCGGTGCGGGACGCGCCTCGGGCTCCAGCGCCGCGGCGGGGCGGGGGAGAGGAAAAGGCGGCCGCCGCCCCCGCCCCCAGCCCCGAACACTGGCACCCATTGAGAGCCGCTCAGAGCCGCTTTGTCCCCCGCTGCCCGCCGCCCGGGCCTGGCCAGCTGCACGGGGCCCGAGGTGGCCGCCTCCCTCTCCGAGTGGCCCGCGCTGGCAGGCACCGGCCCGCGGCCTGGGCAGCTGGGAAGGCAGGCCGCTGGGGCCATCTGGGGGCCATGCCGGCTGTGCGCCCTCGTCCGTGATACCCTGCACCCTTCCCACAGCCCGCGTGCAGAAATCGTGCCTAAGACCCGGGTCCCCGTGGAAGCTCTTCGGGGTGCGAGGAGGCCAACCCCAGGCTGCAGCGGGGGTCCCCTGATCACAGAGATCACAGAACGGTAGAACACTTACCCCCCCCCCGCCCGCGCCCCCAAACCCTGGCCCCAAAACCTGGCCGCCTGGATCGCCCTTACACATTCCTCAGGTAGCGGCCTCACTCCAGGCTCTCCACAGTCCAGTGCTCCCGGGCAGAGGCGGATGAGGTTGCAATTCCCCGTGTTACAGAGAAACCGGGACTCAGGGCTTAAAGGGTTTGAATAGTCCGAGAGGGGCAGAAAGCAACAGGAACGCCCAGGTCTTTTGGGTTGTTTTGTTTTGCTTGTTTTTTGGGGCCAGGTGTTATTTACTAAATATAAAATACGAAGGAGCCGCTGTGTGCTCTCTCTGTCTCTCTCTGTCTCTGTCTCTGTCTCTGTCTCCACCTCCTGCATTCACTGCTTCCCCCACCCCAGGGAGGTGGATGGCAATGGGCAGGCGAAGGGAGGAACGAGAGCCAGGCTGGTTAGTCCTCAATTACCGTTTATTTCATTCCCATCTCCGTTCTCCTCTGATTCTCCTCCTGCTTCTTCCTCCCCCATGCTACTTCATTCTCCTTCTATATCCCACTTCATTGTCCTTCTCATTCTGGATCCCCCAGCCCCCTCTTACAGCCTAGTTAAATCCCCAAGCATGAGGGGTTGGGGCTTACACATAGGTGTGGTCACAATCAACAAAGGTAAAGTCCTTCCCTCAGGGGAAGGTGCTTCTAGGACAGATTCTCATTCAAGCAGGACGACCCACAAGCGGAATCCCATGGGTGTGTTTCTCCTCTCTTTGTCCAACAAACATATAGCACTGTATAGCACTGTCCTCCCATTGTTCATCGATTTGCTCAAGCGGGCCCAGTAACGTCTGCATTGTGAGACTTGTTACTGTTTTTGGCATATCAAATACACCACAAGTAGCTTGCCAGGCTTTGCTGTGTGGGCAAGATACTCTCGGTAGTTTGCCAGGCTCTCCGAGAGGGGCGGAGGAAATGAACCTGGCTCGGCCGGGCTGGCCGCATGCAAGGCAAACGTCCTACTGCTGTGCTATTGCTCCAGCCCAACAAACATATAAACATTCATAATATTATTTTGTGTGGACACAGTAAGAGATACATTAAGCTTATAGAATTGCTTTCCTGGGGTCATCTCGATCTCAAACTACAGTGCTCAGGCCAGATTAAGTCTTTCCTAAACCTGGCAGGGTCCTAATCTCGTTATTTTTATTATTTATTTATTTATGCTTTTTGGGTCACACCTGGCGATGCACAGGGGTCACTCCTGGCTCTGCACTCAGGAATTATCCCTGGTAGTGCTCAAGGGACCACATGGGATGTTGGGAATCGAACCTGGGTTGGCTGCGTGCAAGGCAAACGCCCTACCAGCTGTGCTATCACTCCAGCCCGTCGTCGTTACTTTTTGGATCATGACAGCATTTGTCCATGACCAAGCTCTTATAGTTAAGAATCGTGGCGCTTTGGCCTGGCCTGTTTCGATGCCAGGGTAGCTTACAGCTTGCCCTGCGTCCATTCAGTACCTCATTGGGATCCTGCTTTTAGGGTGTTTAGGAACGAAGAGCAACTGAAGCTTAGGTCGAGAAAACAGAGGCCCGTAGAAGACAACATAATATTAACTGTCTGTTGTGTCTATACAAAAAGGACATTGCTTTAAAGTAAACTATACAAAAGATATAAGGAGAGGAGAAAGGCAATATTAATTTATAGTACAAGTTCAGTGTCCTTAGAAAGATCTGACCTACAAGTTAACAGAATCTGATTAGGAGGAAAAGGTGATTAACTGGTTGGGGAGGAGAGCATAGGGAAGAGTTTACAGATCAACACAATGGAATGGAAATGCCTCAGGAGCACTGTAATAAACTTGAGTTCCTTGTGGCAAGGGAGAAAGGACAAAGCAATGTTATTCTACAGGGCCACACCAAGCAGTGCACAGAGCTTACTCCTGGCTCTGTGTTCAGGGGTTGCTCCTCCTGGACTTGGGGGACCATATGTGATGTCAGGGATGTAACCAGGGCCGGGGCAAGCGAGTGCCCTCCCCACTGTACTATCTCTCTGGCTGGCACACACGTCTTTTGATCCCTCGTGGAGCCCCGGCTTTACGACAGACGACATGCTGGAGGAATCTGGTGCTTGGGGCAGGGGCATGGAGTGCCCAGCAGAATTTTACGTTAGGAGAAGGCACCCCATTTATGCCTGTGTGGGATGCGGCAGAGATGGGCAGAGATGGTTTGCTCCTGTGAGGGTGTCAGAGAGGAGGTTGAAAGCAAGCCTTGTCCAGGGTATTGCATCAGTTCAGCGGCAGAAGGCAGAGAGCACTAGACCCCCGTGTCCCGCCCCCACCACACACACACACACACACACACACACACACACACACACACACACACACACACACCGCCCAACCCACCCATCTCTTGTTAGATCAGAGGTTCCAAGCATGAGAGACCACAAAGCCTTGAAAGCACAGGCACTGTTCAGTGACTCAGGTGGGGGGCTGCCCCCCACGTGTGTGCTCACCCCCATCTCTCGCCAAACCTTTCTGTGTCTTTTTTCCCTGAGAAAACAAAATCTTGTTTCTGTGAAAACATGGGGCCCGGGAGGAGAGCATAGGGAAGAGGTTACAGGTACAAGTTCAGTGTCCTTAGAAGGATCTGACCTACAAGTTAACCCCATCAGGGCTCCCCCCCCCCACCGTTACCCCCCACCTTTATGTATTGCCAGCAGTGGAAATCAGGGCTTCACATGCAAGAGATGTTGTGAGACCACAGACTCTCAGCTGCAAAGCCGCAACCTGGCTCAGAAAAGAAGTGATTTTTCTACTTGCGACATCCTAGGACAACCTTTTAGTTCACTTGCCTTGCATGCATCCAATGCAGTTCAATCCTTGGCATCCCATATGGTCCCCCAAGCAGTGCCACAAGTTATTCCTGAGTGCAGAGCCAGGAGTAACTACTGAGCATCATTTGCCCCAAAGCAAACAACAGCAACTGAACAAAGCTGAACTCTCTGGTTCTGAAACTTATTATTCTACTTTGCTGATTTTCTGTGTCCTCTATTTTTTTTTAATTTTTTTTTCTGAGCCCCAGCCTGGCTCAGAAAAGCAATGATTTTTCTACTTGCGACATCCTAGGACAAACAACCTTTTAGTTCACAGCGTGGGAGCTGACTGGATTAGAACAGAGGGTGCCAAGGGGGCTGCATCCCCCCCACCCCCCAGTTGGAGAGAACTTTCAGCAGACCGCCCTGTTGGGCTGAGTCCACAGAGGTGCATGGCTAGGAGTCCTGGGGAGACTGGTGGGTGCTGGCGAGGACTCGGAGGCCCCAGAAAGTGGCTGGAAGCACATCCTCTGCCCTTGCCAGAGTCCCAGTCTCCTCCAGGGGAGAGGCCAAGAGTAATCTGTGATCACAGGAGACGCAATACCAGCTTGGCAGGGCATGTTCTCCCAGTGCGCCTGGGATTCACCGCTAGCCGCAAATGACTTTTGTCCTCTTGCTCTGGGAGGAAACTGAGGTGGGAAGAAATGAGTTTCCCAGCTGATACAGCTGGCTTTGAGACTGGCCTTCTGCGATGCCTGCTCACTCCAGGTATGTCCGTGCCCCGCCTGGCACCCGGCTGCCGCCCTCCTTAGAGGGAATAGCGGGGCATGTGGAGGAGGGGAGGGGTTCCCATCTGACTTGTGACCCAGTTTGCGCCTGGCCTGGGGCCATGCTGGGATTGCTCTGCTGAGTCACCCACTGCCAGGCACAGGCTTCTCCCTGGACCCTCCAGCACCTCTTAGATCTGAGTGGAGCCAAGTGTGGGCATTTCTGAGCTGCCCCCCTGTCCTGGTTTAGGGCCCCAAGCCTGCATCTGCCCCTCAACCCCCAATCCAGCCCAAGTGAGCAGAGCCCTTAGGAGCCAGGCCTGGCCCACTTCCGTTCTGGCCAGGGAGCGCTCTGCAGGAGGGCTCACCAGCTCTGTGGGCCTGGGGCCACCCCACTCCACCCCAGAGGTAATTACAAGCCTTTGTTCTTTCCAGTCTGATTTAATCTCCGGACTCCCACCGGCACTCAGCCAGTCTGAGTTGTCCATCAGCCCATACCTGGGGGAATAAGCCCAGGAGAGTCCCCTGGACGTGCCCCCAGGCTCAGGCCCAGTAGGGTGCTAAAGGAACCAGGGTCTTCTGACTCCACTGCCCCAGAGCAAATACTGCTCTCAGTCTTTTTTTTTTCTTTTTGGGTCACACCTGGCAGTGCTCAGAGGACAATATGGGATGCTGGGAATCGAACCTGGGTTGGCCGCTTGCAAGGCAAACACCCTACCCGCTGTGCTATCACTCCAGTCCCCCCCCCCCCCCCTCAATCTTTCTTGTAAAGGAAAGCCTGTTTCCTATGGTGGTCTTCTGGGGGGTGTGTATGTATGGGGGGCAGGCATGGGGGGCTGAGGGCCAGGGCCAGCCTCCCTGTTCCAGCTACCAAGGAGCCCCTT